GAGGAGAGGAGAGGAGAGGAGAGGAGAGGAGAGGAGAGGAGAGGAGAGGAGAGGAGAGGAGAGGAGAGGAGAGGAGAAACAAAACCAGGAGTCCAGGATAAGTTCAAGGTCCATGTTAGGGACCTGGAAGGGTGTGGCCAAGAATCTGAGACTACACATGCAGGCCATGAAAAGAGAATATTCCTTCCCTATACCTTCTAAAGACGTGTCAGAAGGGAGAAGGGTGTGACCACAGGAGAAACTAGAAGAGGAATAAGAAGGCTCCAGGTATGGACATACAAGAAAGTGAGAAGATCATCAGGGAGATTTGCTGGCTTGGCCAAGTTCTCTGTCTGCTCAGTGGAGAACTGGTCCCTAGTAGGGTCAGGAGACATCACTCTCACTGTTGGAGCTATCCACTAGGTTTTGAATCCAAGGGTCTCAGAGCTGTGAGTGACAGGATGCTAAGGGAGGCCAAGACAGACATAAAAAGATGGGTAACTCTTTCCTCAAGCCTGAAGAGTATGAGAACAGACAATTCCTAATGCCAATCAAAATCCAAGAACTCGGGGATAGGAGGAGCAGCAGGCCAGCTTCCAGAAACATCAGGAAACTTCCAGAAAACACTGAAAACACCAAGAAAAATAGCCAAAAAAAAAAGTTTGGGCCTCCAGGGACCAGGTAACTTACAGAAGACAGCTTGAAGCACAATCATGGCCACCAGCACCAGTGACAGACAGATGAAGGCCACGCGGAGGCTGAGAGTCTTCCTTAGGACTTGAGACAGATCTGACTTGGGAGAAGGCTCTGGAAGGAGACACAGAGGGCTGTTAAGGATCACTGAAGAGTGGTGATTGGCATAAGCACCAACTGGGCATGCAGCAGTCGCTGGCACTTGCCTTGAGGCCAGAGAGAGATGTTCTGCTTGTCCACTGTGAAGTGTGCGTCGGGGGTCTCCTTCTCCTTCATCTCCACCTCTATGCAGGAGCTTCTGGCTGCCTGGCTCCCCAAGGGCATTTTATCCAGAAGGAAACGGGAAATGAGTCAGAGAGCAGGTTACTATGTCATGCCCAAGTTCCCCGTTCTTGACTTAGACACTGCCTGGCTGAGGCCACAGCTTCATTCCCTCCTCAAAAATCTGGGCTTTTGTGGGGCAGAAGGTGGCACATGACTCCTTCCCAGGAACACAGACTTTTTAATCATCTATTCTGAAGGCTCTTATATTTCTCTTGTAAAAAGTTTCTCATCTCTAATATGTATATATTCCACACTTTCTTCATCCATTCTTCCATGGAAGGACATCTAAGTTGTTTCCAGGTTCTGGCTATTACAAATAATGCTGCTATGAACATAGTTGAACAAATGCTTTTGTCATATGATAGGGCAACTCTTGAGTATATTCCCAAGAGTGGTATTGCTGGGTCCTGGTGTAGGTTGATCCCAAATTTCCTGAGAAACCACCACACTGCTTTCTATAGTGGTTGCACAAGTTTGCATTCCCACCAGCAATGGATGAGTGTACCCCTTACTCCACAACCTCTCCAGCAAAGGCTATCACTGGTGTTTTTGAGTACTACTCAGCGGAAAAAAAAAAATGACTTCTTGAATTTTGCATGCAAATGGATGGAAATAGAAAACACTATCCCGAGTGAGGTAACCCAGACCCAAAAAGATGAACATGGGATATACTCACTCATAATTGGTTTTTAGCCATAAATATAGGACATTGAGCCTACAATTCGCGATCCTAGAGAAGCTAAATAAGAAGGTGAACCCAAAGAAAAACATACAGTTATCCTCCTGGATATTGGAAGTAGACAAGATTGCTGGGCAAAAAATTTGGGAACTGGGGGGTGGGATGGGGGGAAGGAGAGATGGGGAGAGACAAGTGAGAAGGGGAGGATGGGGAGAGCTTGGGGGAATGGGATGATTGGGATATATGGAAGGATGGATATGGGAGCAGGGAAGTATATATCTTAATTAAGGGAGACATTTTAGGGGTGGCAAGAGCCTTGACTCTAGATGGGTTCCCAGGGGTCCAGAGAGATGTACCCAACTAGGTCCTTGGGCAGCTGAGGAGAGAGAGCCTGAAATGGCCCTATCCTATTGCCATACTGATGAATATCTTGCATATCACCATAGAACCTTCATCTGGCGATGGATGGAGATAGAGACAGAGACCCACATTGGAGCACCAGACTGAGCTCCCAAGGTCCAAATGAGGAACAGAAGGAGGGAGAACATGAGCAAGGAAGTCAAGACCGTGAGGGGGGCACCCACCCACTGAGATGGTGGGGCTGATCTATTAGGAGATCACCAAGGCCAGCTGGACTGGGACTGAAAATGCATGGGATAAAACCAGACTCACTGAATATGGTGGACAGTGAGGGCTGCTGAGAGGCCAAGGACAATGGCACTGGGTTTTTATCCTACTGCATGTACTGGCTTTGTGGGAGCCTAGCCTGTTTGGATGCTCACCCTCCTAGACCTGGATTGAGAGGGGAGAACCTTGGACTGCCCACAGGGCCGGGAACCCTGACTGCTCTTTGGACTGGAGAGGGAGGGGGAGGGGAGCGGGACATGGGGAGTAGAGGGAGGGGGAGGGAAAAGGGAGGTGGGGAGGAGGCGGAAATTTTTAATAAAAAAAAAAGTTTCTCATCTATCATCCATCCAACATCTATTCACCCACCCTACAAACACACACCGAGAGACTTCTCAGAGCCCATCCCAGGACCCCAGAGATGAACTATTAAGTTTTATAACTCAGGCAGCTTGCAACCTGACCAAAAAAAAAATAGCCTGAACTAGTAAATTAGAATCCAAGGTGGGGAACATGGCAGAGGATGGATATTCGCTGTCAAAGAACACACAGGGAGCAGAGTGACGGGGGTCCTGATTGAGGGACTGGCACACTCAGTGTCTGGTAATCAAGACTAATAGGATGCTAGGGAACTGTGGATAGCTCTGGTACTACACGCATATGATTTATATGGTACTAGTCAGATGATGATGGTCCTTTTGCATCATCTTAAGGAGTTTTACCTCCTTCCTGTGGGTTCAGAAAGGGGACTTCAGGAAAGAAAGTGGTTAGAAAAAGCACTCTGAGGGGGTAGGGAGATAAGTGTTTGCCACATCTAAGCATGAGTTCATATCTCCAGCACCCATGTAAAATCCAGGTACAACAGTAGGCACCTATATTCCCAGGCTAAGGAGGCAGAGGCAGGAGAATCCATGGAGATCCCTGGCTAACCAGGCTGGTAATAAGAGATCTCTAAGTTCACTAAGAGACCATGTTTCAAAAATAAGGTGGAAATTGGTCGACAAAGTCACTGGACACTGACCTCTGGCCCCCAAAAGCATGCACACACACATGACATATGTAAACATATGCACATATATATATATATATATGTGTGTGTGTGTGTACAAAAAAAAGATCCCTCTGACCATGGTTAGGAGCATAAACTTGGGTACAGGAGTCTGGAAGCAGAGAGACTGATTAGGAGACCACTGCAATAAAACATTCTCATATGCAATTATGAAATTTTATAAAATGCAACATAGAGATTCACATTGTTAAGTGTGAGGCTTGGGCTCTCCTCTGTGCTTCTTGAAGCTTGGGTATCTCACATAAAGTAGGATGGCTCAGCAGCAGTTGACTCGGACTGCTCTTGTCTCTCTCCTCTCTGCTCTATTCTGCTCCTCTCTAATCCCCTGGAATCATGAACAGAGTTCCCTACGGAGGAGAGGCTTAGAGTACAGAGGAGCTGATTTGGCTTCAGTGGGAGTAACTTTTCTCCTGAGAAGCTCCTCATTCTTTGAAGAAGCCTGCAAAATCTAAAACCATGGTACATAGTGGACTCTAGACAAATGTTTCTCTAAAAGTAGAAAAGAGAGAAGGTTAAGAGGAAAGAAAAAAAGAACAAGAAGAAAATTAAGAAGTTGGCACAGATAATTGGATGGATGGATGGATGGATGGATGGATGGATGGATGGATGGTTGGATGGGTGGATGGATGGATGACGGATGGATAGATGGATGACGGATGGATGAGTGGATGGATGGGTGAAAGATAAGCAGCTGGATAAATGAGTAGGAGAGAAGCAGATGGTTTTATGAATGGAAAAGTAAATAGATTAATGGTTGGACAGATGATCAGTAAAAAGAATGGACAATGTGTGAAAAAATGAATGGAAATCAATGGATAGATAAATTGTAAACCAATGAATGAATAGGTGGATAGACGATCAGAGCGTGGGTGGATATGGATGGAGCAGCAATAGAGAATAGGTGGAAAGAAAATAAGTGGATGAATGAATGGATGATAAATAAATGGGTGATTTGATAATTGGTCAGAACTCTCCACAGTTGATAGCCAGGTATCTATTTTCTAGAAGTTTCCACTTCTCACCACTGAATCCAGTTCTCATTTGTAAGGGAAAGACTCAAAGAGATCTGGCTAATACCTTACTGAAAATCTAATATAAGCTCTAGTCACCGGGTTGGAATGCACAGGGCTGGAATTCTGCCCTAGCCTCCCTGAGTATTGAGGCTCAGTAACAGTGTAATATCAAAATCCAGGGTAGCAGGCTAATCAGCTAATCTGCTGTCTACTGTTACTGAGGATTCCCTAATTGGAAGCAGCCAGCCTGCTTGCTCAGCATAGCCCTGTCTAGCATCCCTTGGTACCCATAGCTTTTGCTACCTTTGCTGGCTGTAGATGGAAGTTTCTGTCCTACCCAGTCCCACAGTCATTCAGTCCCAAAGAAACACATGGGGGCTTATTAATTATAAACTGTTTGGCCTATTATCTCAGGCTTATTATTAACTAGTTCTTACAAATTGAATTAATCCACAATTCTTGTCTATGTTTAGCCACATGGCTTGGTACCTTTTCTCAGTAAGGCATTTTCATCTTGCATCCTCTGTATCTGACTTGTGACTGTGTCTCTGTCTTTCCTCTTCCCAGAATCTTCTTAGTTTTGTTGTCTCACCTATACTTCCTGCCTGGCTACTGGCCAATCAGTATTTTATTAAACCAATAAGAGTGATGAATCTTTACAGGGTACAAGAGTATCCCATGACATTTTTCCTTTTTTTCTTTTCAAAACAAGACCTTGAATTTAATCTTATTTGCTTAACTTTTTTCCTGACCGTTATCGATAACAACTTGTAACCAAACAAGTCTTGTAAACAAACACAAACATCCATAATCCATTTTTGGGAATGTGGATGTAGTTTTCTAGGCTTCTTCCTACTCATTGGGGACACTGATAATCCTATGGGGACCCAAAGAAAATTTAGGATTCTGGTCAAGTTCTTACTGGAGTATTCAGTGAAGCTGGATCATCTCAGCCAGCAGTCTTGAAGCTGTTCTGGATGCAGAACTCAAAGAAAAATGCAACAGAGGTGCTCTGAAACATTGGATGATCTGGGCCATCCACTCCTATCAAAGATTTCTCAGGGGGTCTTCCTTGATCAAACCTGATTTTTCTTAACCCAGAATGAATCCATAGCTTCTCATTTCCTATGGAAACAAAAGCAAAACCTCTTCTCCAAAGTAACATATCTTTTGACTTAAATTTTGAAGTCAAGGCATTTTCAAAATATATAGGTTGGATTAATCCAGCATCAATTATATTCAAATGTCTTTTAACAGCTGTTGCTCCTTCCTCAACAGCCAAACAATTCAAAGACAACACAATAACATACAGTATTCAGATTCTCTGTATATTTTCCATCTTTACATGTCCTTTCTCTTATTCTATTTTTTTTTATTTTTATTTTTTGATATTTGGATTTTTGAGGCAGGGTTTCTCTGTATATCTTTGGCTGTCCTGGAACTCACTCTGTAGACCAGGCTGTTCTCGAACACACAGAGTTCCACCTGCCTCTGCCTCCTGAGTACTGGGATTAAAGGCATGCACCACTACACCTGGCTACTCTATTTCTAATTTTTAAATAATTTT